TCCTGTTTTCTAAGTATGTTTTGAACCAGTTTAGTACAGTTCCTGAAAGACCTGCCCAGTTCTCCAGTCGTTTGAGTAATATGTTGTGGTCAACTGTATCAAATGCTGCACTGAGATCCAGTAAAACTAAGACTGACATTGTTCCACTGTCTGTGTTCAGACATATGTCATTAAACATTTGGTCAGAGCAGTTTCAGTGCTGTGGTTCTGTCTAAAACCTGACTGGAAGGCAATATAGGCTGATTCATCTGCTGTTTGCAATGATACTGTGATTATCTGTCATATATTGGCAACAGTCATTATTCTGTTGCTTTTTCTGTGCTTGAAGGTATTTGTTTAATTTTTATTTTCCAGGCGGTGCCTGATAGATTTGAAACATAAATATTGAATTCTGTCCAAAAATTTTGTCGCAGTTGCTGTAGGACATAATTTAACAGAAGAATGCGGCAGCATTGTTTTTTATTTATTTTTAATTTATTTTTAATTTATTAATATATTGATGTCCAACTATTTGTCACTGAGTAGACGTGTTTCTAACACTTGATGAAGAAGAAATCAAGAGAAAATATTAAAATGAAATCGATAATTCTGATTTGGGATCCACTGAGTTAGAGAAATGGATGTTTCCTTCGTTTGTAATATCATTACTTTTATTTAAATATAGTGCTTAATTAATGAACTTGGAGGTAAACTGCGAGCTGTTGTCAGTTACAATGTGCTCATCTGTCTGTCTCAAGACAGATGAGAGGAACTGAATAACATCAGTAGTTGTAGCAGAAGGTGAAAAGGCTCAAGCCATTTGGAGTAGTAGTCAGTCAATGCCACCATTAGAGGTCTCTTCTTTTTTGGCCTTTGTCAGCTTCTATTGACAGCTACAGTGAAGAAATGACAGGAAACCAGAGGGAGAGAGAGAGAGAGACCAGGGAAGACATGCAGCAAAGAGTCGTGGGTCAGACTAAAACCCGGACTGGACTCTCTCAGCCATAAGGACAAGCTCAAAGCACAGGGCTAAACCGGCGCCCAACCATCTTTGTTTTGTGCAAACAATCCCTTGGTGACTTTCACGTGCTAGTGCAATCAGTTAAAGTCTCATTGAATCTGGTGTGATGAGCCTTGAGCCTCTGAGAATATATTTACTTAGAGTTGAGAGTTCATGGTGGATTTTGCAGCAAAGTCATTTGATTGATGCAGGCCAGCCAATACAGCGGGGAAAATAAGTATTTGACACATCAGCATTTCCATCAGTAAGGGGATTTCTAAGTGGACTATTGACACAACATTTCCACCAGATGTTGCCATCAAGCCAAATATTGAA